TGGAGAGGGTCCAGAGAAGGGCCACTCGTATGGTTAAGGGCTTGCAGACCAAGCCCTACGAGGAGAGACTAGAGAACCTGGACCTTTTCAGCCTCTGCAAGAGAAGGTTGAGAGGCGACCTTGTGGCTCCCTATAAGTTCATCACGGTGGCAAAGGAGGGAATTGGTGAGGTTTTATTCACCAAGGCGCCCCCGGGGGTTACAAGAAATAATGGCCACAAGCTAGCAGAGAGCAGATTTAGACTAGACATTAGGAAGAACTTCTTCACAGTTAGAGTGGCCAAGGTCTGGAACGGGCTCCCAAGGGAGGTGGTGCTCTCCCCTACCCTGGGGGTCTTCAAGAGGAGGCTAAATAGTGGCTGGGGAGTGGCTACATGAGATGCTGACTGCACAGTAGCTTGATACTACTGCGCAGTAGCATTGCATGGCAGGAAGGGTGATGCGATGCTACTGTGCATTACTGTTTATACAGGTACTAAATGACCGTGCAGTCAGCATCTCATGTAGATGCGGCCAGTCTCATTTAGAGAGTGGAGGAAGGACCATAACCTCTTCACAGTTTACTGTTACTGTTCTTTTTGTCTCTTCCTCTTGCTCCTGTCCCCTATCTTTTCTTTGCCTTGCAGTTCACTTTTGTGGCTCCTTCTTGCTAAAGCTACAGGCAGCTCAAGTTGCCTCCTGTAATACAGCAGAGCTGCTTTTTACTGAGGACTTAGAAAGAAATTACTTCTTTTTTTTTTTTTGCCTCAGCAAGTTCCAGCCCTGTTGCTCTTGCAGCCAGCTGCGTTAGGGACTGTGAAGGTAACATGAGGGAGGTTGACCACCGCTTTACCTGCAGATATCCTCCAACAGTTGTCAGGAGAAAGCAGAACTACCCTTGCTTTAATTTACGGAAACAGTCAAAAGTACATTCTTAGAAGAATTATGCTCGTGTTTGCTTCTACCCTGATAGAAATAATTAGCATATTGTAAAATGACTATGATGCATAATGCAACCAACCACATGCTCACTCAGTATAGGAAGTGGAAATGATTGCTAAGACATATGACTTTTTCCCCTTGGCCAGGGGATCAAGAATGTAAGGATGCAATTATTCTTTTTCCTGAATTAAAACAAATAACTGTTATGGAGCAGGGCAAGGGGAAAAAGAGCAGTCTTATTAATCCAGTTTATTTGAGAGTAGTGAGTTAGTACAAGTTCTCACAGACCTGCAAAAATCAAAGGTTTGTTTTTTTTTTAATGTATTTGTCAGGAGTACACTTAACACTTTAGCTTTGCAAACCAAATCCCATGGATTTACTCATATATTACACTCTGCCCATACATACTGTCCTGAGCACATTTTTATCATTTCATCAGACATGAAAAAAAAACTGAGAACGTGCTTGTGATTATTTGAGTTTTTTTCCAACACCAGAAAATCCTACCAGCCAGCATATACTGGTTCTGTGTGCCCAGTTACACCATAAGTTGTATGTGGTACTGATTCTTTTGACAGTAATGGAGACTTCGAGGTTTTCCAGCCATATTCTTGCTTTCGTTTCAGAATTATTAAAGCAGCAGCAAGGACTCCACCTGAAAAATGGAGGAATGAAAAGTATTTTCAGAAGTGAAGGTAAACTGTCAGGCAGTGGTTGTCCTTTGACTTTTGGGTAATGCAGTACTTTTTTTTGGTAACCTGAGGTTTTGCATTCATTTAGATTTGTGCAAAATCGGTTCTGGGTAGGTACAACACATCAACTATCAGAACAACTCTGAAAGTGCAACTTGATTCAAAAAAGTGATTGTAAAGAAAATTGTCAGACTTCAGCTATGCCTTTTCTGTTAACTGTGTGTGTTGTGATGTAGTAGTAGAGGAAAGAGTATTACCATATATCCCCCCCAAATCTTTACCAAGTTCAAACCAGTTACATGCAACTCTTTTGCAAGACTTGGTGGAGAAACATAGTTCACTTTCCAGAGTCCTTGTGACTTTGTGGTTCACAGGAAGAGAAGAACCTAGACTGACTCTTAGATCCTGGTTTGATACTGCAGCATCCCACCACCCTCCCCAAAAGAAACCCACAACAAAACAAAACAAAAAAACCCCTGCAAAAAACCAACCAAACAATCAAAAACCCTAAATGGGGCACAATCAATAAGGAAACACTGGATTAATATCAAGGCATTTAATGCAAGTTTTAGCTTCCTACCATAGTCACAGCAGGGAAAATTGATCTAAATAACTGACTTGTGCTCCTCTGTTGCAGTCCAACAACATGCCCTTCTAAGAGCAGCCACATATGTCCAATTTAGAAGGCGTGTAAGCTTGTGGTAAAATGCTGGATTTATTAAATGAACTATGTATTTCATTTTTGAACTCTTACGAAAAATTCATTGGGTTTTTTGTTTTTATTTCTGGTGACTTGTATTGCTTTTTACATTTATCCTTCCTCCTGCTGGCCACATTCTTTGAAACACACAAGGTAACTAGATCATGATGGACAGTTTTTCTAACAAGCATTTCTGATGGAAAAAGCCCAAGGATGGTGGTAGGGGTGTAGGGGTCATTCCAAACTGAACACACTTTTCTGACAGGCTTTTTCTCGTATGTTTTTCCTGCCCAATATCAAGTAACTAGAACCTGCACAAAAGTTTTTGAACATACTGTTGCCAGTTTTTGCAGTGCAATTTTGACCTCTGCTGGAACCAGTATGTCATGCCAGGCTCTGGGTGGCCAGGTCTGGAGGTCACCCAGGGTCAGGAGAAGCCGCCAGTCCTTAGGAAAGGGGAGCAGGGAAAAGCTCTGAAAAAACAGAGAAGTACTGAGGAACAATATCCACAAGGGACAGGACTGGCAACAGAACTTATTGCTGAGCTGGGGATTGTGCAGATGTAAGGTTTGAGGGGCACAGGATAGGTCTGTGGGTACCAGTGCTTTAGCTTTTAGAGAAGCAGGAAGTCCCACATCAGTGAAGAGTCAGCAGAGGCCAAAATTGTTCTGTAAACTTGGGAAACCTGGCAACACTTCTAGTGGGGATCCCCTGTACATGGTCATGAGTAAAACAGCATTTTAAATGCATAGAATCCACCTGCATTGCACATAGGCCTTGTGCTCCCATCCCTCACCACATGGCAGCAATATGGAACCTGGTGAGTGTCCAGCACTTCTGGATTTGATCAAGTTTCTTCTAAAATTTCATTAAAAAAAATGTATTCTGATTCTCTGACATGAAACTGCTGTGAATGTTACTGATTGATCTGGGCTTGATATTCGTGGTCAGACTCCCCTGTATAAGTCTGTTTGTATTCATGTAAAGACTTCCCCTATGAAAGACTCTTCATATCCCAGGTTGAGTTAGTTAATCCTGCTTCATGCAAAGGCAACATCTAGCAGACAAGCAACCCTGAATATCAGCCCAGAAAAGATGGCACAAAGGAAAAAAAGCATGCTGTATCTATTCATATACCATATTCCTCTTTTTCCCCCAAAATTAGCCTTCCAATATTGGGATCCATGTTTTAAGCAGGGAAGCTGGTTTTCTACCCAGAATAGATGCAGTGGAGACATTGTAAGATGTGTGCTGTTTTTCCTTCTCTTCCCTCCAGCAGCTGCATGGAGGGAGAAGTAGAGTCCAGCAGGGGCACATTCAAAGGAGGTGCTATGGTGTACTCTCATCCTTTGATTCCTCCTCCAGCCAAAGTCTAAAACCAAATGCCTGGTACCAGCCGTGACATTTCTATTACGGCAGTGCTGAGGGAGTCAATTGACTTCATGGCTCATCATCTACCTGATTCCTGCTACTCTCTCTTTAGCCCACGGGTATTAACAACCATCTCTCCTTTTTAAAATAATCCTATTGTTCCATTAATCAAGCTATCTTTTCTCTAGCTCTTTTGCTGTCTATTAGCTACTCCTGGTCTCATCTATTTCACAGCCCTGCAGACTTTTTAGCTCTTTTTCTTTTCATCCAGTCCAGTCTTCAGCAGCAGCTACAGTTTCAGCTTTTGCCTGAGCAGGCAAGAGCTTGACAGTTCAGCTATGAAAGGGCTAAAGTGTAGCACAGGAAGGGAAGGGTGAATGAGCTGAAGATTAGGCTCTGTTCCTGTTCTGTGCAGCCACAGCTCTTTGACTTGGGACAGAGCGATGCCCTTTCTATAAAAATTTGCCTGTGAAAGCAGGGTGAAACTCAGGGAAGTGATTAAAGCAGGCCAGTTGGTGGCCAAGGCTGCTGTAATTCCTTTGAGATTATAACCAGTTCTGTATGCATGATGGTGATGTGTAGCAAAGCATTGTGGCTCGCCGCATCAGGTATCCCTGAGGAGGTCCAGGCAATGATTAATGATCACAGCATAGATAGGATTCAGCGAACAAACTGACTGCTCTGCAGCCCCATGCTGGAACTAGTACTGTCCTCATTCCCAATTGTGACAACTGATGCCCCCCAACACCAAAATATAGCTCAGATACAACTAGAATCACTAGCTTTTTTCCTCCACCACGGCACATCCTGCTCTTAGGTACAATTAGCAAATCTGAAGGGACAGTCAGGATGCAGACCAGAATACGCCTACTTCAGAAGCTGCTTGGCACCACTCCACTGGGCACAGTCTGCTGTGACATGAGACAGATGTTTAGAAGTCCTGACTATCCCATCCAGTTCCACTCTTCTTCCTCTACAGCTCCCTTGCCTCTCCCTTTTCAGCTGATTTCAGCCTGCTATAAGCATGCATGTACTCACATACCTGATGTTACTTGCCAGACCTCAACTGCAGACCTTGCAACTATGAGATCATTCTTCTGATGAGGTATATCTCATGATGGGGTCCCATTTAAGATCCTACAAGAACTCATGGGTGGCCCTGGAGAATGCAAGAAAGGATTCTCTTTTTGATCCTATCCCCAACTATGATACTCTTCACTGATACCCCAAAACAAGTTGAAGTGCCCACTGAGATGAACTGCATGTTCAGGACATCAGGTTCCAGGACACCTTGAAGATGTCTGAGACTGTTTTGAAGAGCCAGGAACTGGATTTGCTGACCAGGGATGTTCTTTCTAGTCTTCAACCTTCCCATGCTCTTGAGTTAAAGCCAAGTAACTGGCCATGCTGTTCCTGCCTGCCTTGTGGGGCTCCATGATGTAGCTTTTGATGGATATTGTCCACAGTGCAGTGCACTGTATGAACCAGCAAGGCTTTCAGCCTTCCCCATCAAGAAGCCATCAAATTGTAGATATGGTATCATCACTACAAGGAACCCCACTGATCCTAACAATTGCAGGTACCAGCCATCCTTGCTCTAACCACTGGACTAGACTTCTTAAATAGATGCAAAGAGAATTACTTATGGCTTGGAGGAACTAGGTGCAACTCTTTCTTCCCCAGACTTCTTGTGTAACTGGGAGAAACCACTTAGCCTTACTGTATCTTGCTTGTCCATGTAAAATGGGTATCGTAGCCTTTCTTCCACAGAAGGCTGTTGTGAGGAGAAACTCAGGTGTTCAAATACTACAGTAATGAGGGCTATAAGTACTTTGTATAGCCAAATAACCAACTGTAAATTGTGACTTAAAATCCATCATTTCAATATTTCAGCAATGGAGAACTCCCTTAGTAAGTGTTTGCTATAGAGAACAGCCCCAAGTGCACAACTTCTTCTCAAGAGGTTGCATGAGGCCAAGCTCTGTCCAGACACCTTCCTGTTACTGTTGTCTCTGAGCTTCCTGTGTACCTTGGCTCTAATCATAGCATAATATCCAAAGTCAGACAGGACAAAGTCATGCTGATTCTGAAAGCACGTGTCTGTTCAGACCCCATTCATTTACTAAGCTGCCAGGACCTAGTATCACAGAATCATGTTGAGAGGCCGCAGCTGGTGGCTGAGATACTGCCTGCTTGAGCGTCTCTGAAAGAGATTGTTTTCAGTAGGTTTAAGAAATTACAGTGCAATGGAGGAAAAGCTCTTTGCTAGGAAGATCTACTTCTCCAAATGGAAATAGTTATTCATAATATGGCGGACCCAGATGGACCTCTGCTAACACAGATGATCCTAAAACAAGCTGGACTGGTCTGTTAGTTCTTTAAGTTCATTTAGTAGAAGTAACAGCAAGTCAAAGTCGTATTATGTGTATCTTCACATCCAATGGTTTTGAGGCATCTGAAGGGTCTTCTGCTAGTTAGACTCAGCTCTTATGTGGGAACTCATATTGTCCTTCTGAAGCTCCTGGAGCCTTTATTTGTGCTTTTAGATCTTACCCTCAGGATGATCTTTCTACTGGCATGCTGGCTCAGCCAGCTCCAAGCCCTTGTGACCAAATATCCTTAAACACCCTTTTCTAGGCATAAGATATACCTGAGACCTCTTCCTAAGGTTATGGACAAACCACAAATTAAAACAAATTAACAGGGGTGGGGATTGCCTGCAGAACTATCGCAGTAACTTTATAACGGTAACTTTTCATGCGTCTGTAGTGACCCCACAGTAACTGGAAAGCTAAACTGAGGCAACTAAATGAAGCAGGATTAAGTTGTCCTGGTTTAGTTTTCTACTGCAGAGCCTTTGTGGGCACACAAACAGTTGCTGTGGTGTTCTGTGGCAAGTAACCAACCCTTGTTGACTCGCTTGCATTTGATTACTTATCCATATCCTTAGTTCACCGTTAAAGTAGGCCTCAGTTTCACTTGATCAATTAACTTAGTTGTCTTCTTTATGAAACCAGAATCCATGATGGGAGAGAAGCTATCTTTTGCCCCCAATATGTTTTCAGAACCTTGTTCTTTTTACCTGTACAGAAAGAACCCCTATCGCTATCTCACCATTTCTTTGTGGCTAGGTTTCCTGCTCATCAAAAGACCAAAACCATCTTATTACGAAGAATTTCTACATGTGTCTCCATCTCTCAGTTAAGTGGTGGTTCCCTTCCTCCAGACTTTGGGGTGCATTTTCTTAAGGCACATGGAGTGTCTTGGCCTGCTTCAGCAACATACCATTATCTGAGATCTGTAAAGCAACAATATGGAACAGCCAGCTGACTTTTATCAAGCACTATGCTTTCCACTAAGGTGTATGGTCCAAGCTTGGACGAACAATATTCCAATCATGACTGGACATGGCTGGCCCTCATCCTCAATGCCTGGAGGGGTGGCTGCTTGTCAGTCACCTACTGCATGATCTTCATTGATGTATCCTTGAAGAAAAAGGATGGCCGCTATCTTAGTGACTGAGCTGATGATATTTGGGGTCATATACATTATCAGCCTTTCTTCCATGCTTTTTTGGGTTCTCAGCAATGTGGACTTTGAATTGCAAGGTAACTAAGGCAGGTCACTGTGACAGGTCTGGGGCATGGGCACTACCTCTTCCTGACAGTATTCCCTCAAGCCTATTCCACCACCTGCTTCTCACCTACCATGATTTGATGGTAACCAGTATGTATTCAAAAGGAATACATCCTTTGAGACAAGGATAGCAGTCCTTTTCTTGGTGCCCTAGGGCTATTATCATGGCCTTGCTGCCTCTGTAACCATGCCCACACCTCACCAATGACTCTCTATGCCCTTTTGTCAGGACTTCCCATCTCACAGTCTCTCTATGCGAAAGTCTTCATAGGGTCTCTCCAGCCCCAGCCTTTATTCAGACTTCAGCCTGTTCAGCTTCTTTTCCTCTAGCTGAGACCCCTCAGTTCAGGTCCACTGTTTCAGGCCCTGCTTCTTGGGGTCTCGGGCTCAGCCCCGCAGCAGAGGGTGTGTGCCAGGTACCCTGCTTGTGGCCTCCTGTGCCCTTACAGACACTCCCAGTCCTCCAATTCTTTAACTTAATTCCAAACAAAGGAGGTTAATCACCTTGTTACAAGCCACTCCCAATGCTCCAGGGTTGCAGAAGTTCCCAGGAGTTCCCCTCACTCCCATACCTGCAACCTAGAACTTCCCTCCCCATCCCAGCTCCAGCCAGGTTTATTATCCCTAAGCTCTGCCTTCCTTCGTCACCTGGCCGCTGCCTCGGGGAGAGAGCCATCCAGGTGTCCCTATTTAGCTTAATAGTCTGCCTGGCTTCCCCTGATTTTCAACCTTTTGCAGCTCCTTAGCTGTTCCTGGTCTCCAAGCCTGAGTCTGTTTTGAGTCGCCTACTGCATCTGCTGTTCCCTGGAAGTCCCAAAAGTTTGGCTCCTGGCAGGGGTCTTCCCCCTTTTCCTCTTCCTCTGTTGCATGCAGGCAACAGGGTTTGGTTTTCCTGTCAGTCACCCTGTCTTTTATACTCATATGAGAGAGTAAGGAGAGAAAAAACATGCATGCAACCCTAATAACCCTTGCTATTCAAAAGACTGACCTCATGTGCATGAGGTGTATATGTATATACAAAGGGGTTCACACTAGATTTGATATATTTCATAGACATTAGAGCTGGAAGGGACCTTGGAAGATCATCAAATCCAGCCTCCCGCCCAAAGGGCAGGAAGTCAGCTGGGGTCATAGGATCCCAGCAAGATAAGCATCCAATTTACTCTTGAAGGTGTTCAATGTAGGTGCTTGAACCACCTCCGGTGGAAAGCTGTTCCAGACCTTGGGGGCTCAGACAGTAAAGAAATTCTTCCTTATGTACAGCCTGAAATGCTCTTGCAGTAGTTTATAACTGTTCGACCTCGTCATCCCTTGGGGCGCTCTGGTGAACAAACGTTCCCCCAGATACTGGTGGTCACCCCTGATAAACTTATAGGTAGCCATCAGATCACCCCTGAGTGCCTATAGTTTTCCAGGCTAAAGAGCCTAATAGATCTCAGCCTGTCGTCATAAGGTCTATTTTCCTGACCTCTGATTATGCGCATGGCTCTTCTCTGGACTCTCTCAAGCTTCTCCACATCCTTTTTGAGTTGTGGGGCCCAAAACTGGACTTTGTACTCCAGCTGCAGCCTCACCAAGGCCGAGTACAAGGGGAGAATGACGTCCTGGGATTTGCTTGAGAAGTATCTATGGATGCAAACCAGCATTTTGGTCGCTTTATTAGCCACAGCATCGCACTGCAGGCTCATGTTCATCTTGTGGTCAATGATGACCCCCAAGTCTTTCTTCTGTAGTACTAGCCAGTGTAGCACTGCTGAGCCTATAAGGATGCTGCAGGTTTTTCCTCCCAAGGTGGAAAACCTTGCATTTTTCAGTGCAATTATGCAATTACTAATTATGTAACATCTCAAAGAACCAGAAGTAACAGTCCTACACACTGGGGATTTTTTCGGGAAGTTCAGTGATCAGAGGATACAGTAAAAATCAACCATAAAAACCTTGTTTTGAGGTCATGACTCATGATTTTTGAGTCATGGTATATTGCATGCACCATGAAGAAATTAATTTTATGCTACTGTCTCTGCTCGTTAGTAAGCAGAGCATGGACTTACTTGCTTGTGAAGGAAAACTGAATTATAGGAGTGCTCCTTTTACATTTTCCTTTGTATGTTCTACTTAAAATAGCACTTGATAATGAGAACCAAGAATTCTGCACTGTAAAAGCATGGCTGATGTTCTTAAATGTGATTTAAATTCCTATCACATTATTAAAAGTAGGATGTCATTATCCAGCTTGTCTTTAAGGTTACTATTCTATACGTCTATCATACTGTGCTTTGGGGCAGCATTTCGGAGATCATGGGAATCCTGATGAAGAACAGGGCATTAAATTGTATTCAAGTAGGTTGGAGAACACGAAGACACCATAATTAATGTACAGCAGATTGATTCCTCTGAAAAGAGGACTGCAAAAATGTGGCCCAAAGTCAGAAAATAAGCTTCACTAGGTATTAAGTTATCTGGAGATCAATCAAGAATAAACCATCAAGGAAGTATTTTGCTGCTGTTTAAACAAAAGGGTACCAGTTGCAGGTGGAATGCTTCAGTGCAACATTAAATGTTCATTACTTGCCTGCTGATAAAATGGCTAGTAGTACAATAGTTATAGGAGCCAGTTCACAAGAATCTCCAGCCTTTTGAAGAAATGTTTCCATGCAGTACTGTGGTTGAGTGCTACCAGCTGGACAGAAGGCATCAGGAGGACACATAATGGGGTTCACATCTGGGCTCTGTTCAAATGAAAATGTATCATGTTCAGCGACAGGTAAGACTTGTTGCTTAAGCATCATCACTGATTGTGTTGCATGAGACAAGGCACTAGGTAAGACTGTCCCTGCACTGAATGTCTTTCAAACTAAGAGAAACACCGGAGACAATCTGGAGGAAGGTATAACTTTTTAGAGTAGCTACTAAACTCTGTGCTTTGAGCAAGAAAGATCTGGGTTTTTAGATGTCACTTGAATGTGGAGGGTAGAAACAAGAGACTGACTAACATGAGTTTTGAGGATGGCATTTTTGGTAAGTCAGGCTGGAGGTTAGGAACTGACATCCCATGTCTCAACTTAGAAAAAGCAAAAGTGGCAAACTAGCTTTGGTTATGTAGGCTGAAATCTTTCCTGGGTTTACCCAGGACGGCACTAGACAGCATAAGAACATAAAAACTGCCATTTACTGAGTCAGGCCGTAGGTCCATCTTGCCCAGCACCCTGTGTCACACAGTGGCAGAGTGGATACTGAAAAAGAGAGAGAACTGGGTATGACCAGGGTTATTTCTTTATTTATTTCCACTGTTCCCCACTCTTTGCAGCCTCCACCATTTAAGGTCTAGGAAATTCTAATTCAAAGGCTGTATCCCCAATTCCCATGCTTAATAGCTACTGATGCATCTTTCCTCCAAGGATTTGTCCAGTTCCTTTTTTGAATCTAGCTAAACTGTCAGCATCCACAGCACCTGATGGCAATGAGTTCCACACTTTAATTACATGCTTTAGTTACCATAGGCTGGAGAACAGCAAATCCCATCTATTATAGACTTGTCCCTATTTCAAATAACTCAGCCCATGGAGCTTTCTCTAGCTTTCTTCTAAATACCCCCAAAACCAGTGGAAGATTTATGAGGAGTGTGAGGACAGGTAATGGCTCTAGGGGTAGTTAACATTTCTAACTATTTCCCTCTAACATGGCACTACCTATATTGGGAGTTAAAATAAAGATGCCATTAATTAAAATGGATCAACTACAAACTACAACTAAAATGGAGCTTTTCATGGATCAACTACATTTCTTAAGCCAGGCTTTTGCTGTAGCTTATAGAGACTTACAGGGCAGTAGTGATTTTCTGGGCATATGTCACAGCTCTCCTGGCCCACTTGTAATTGGTATTCTCCCGTCTTGCAGACTTTGCATTGGTTGTCACCAGAAGCTTTAAACATACCTACATATCAAAAGAAGCACAACATGAGGGTAGGATTAGGCCACTGGGGCTTTTACTGACAATCTTTGTATGCTCAGTGCTTCACACAATACTGGTAATGGAAAAGGAAAGCTGCTAAAAATATTTTGTGCACATAAGTAAAATCAGAGTGCTGAGTCAGTCTGTGCTGAGGGAGAAAGGAGACCATAAAAGAGAGCATGTGAGTTTGGAGAAGAGGGAAGAAGAAATACGCAGTTTTAGATTAGCAAATAGCCAGAGTTAAGTCTGAGGCATGAGTTCAGTGTAAGGGAAATAACCACGCTGAGTTTTCACATGCTCTACAAGCAGCGGTGAGTGTAAGCTGTCCAGTTCTGAGCTGGGCTCAAAGGTCCAAGGTGTTTACATCTGTAACTCTGGTTTCAGTCCACCTCTCTCGGACTGAAATGTTTTAGCTTTTTAAAGATATTGAATAGTGTTTGAAAAGTTTAAAAAAGGGTTTCTTTACTTCATAGGATGAGAACAATGGGTCTCTAGAACTACCAAATGGTACCTTTGCTGAATTTGAAAGTGTTAACGCTTTTTGGATGTTTTAAAAACATTATGGCCCTGTGAAACCTTGTCATGCAGTCCTTCAACTAGCGATTTGAGGAGTGGCTCAAGACTGTTGCTGTGTCAGGGGCTTGCTGTGTTATGCTATGTGATTCAGTGTTACATCAGGCAGCACTGACTGCAGTCTATAGAAAATGCATGTTCTCATTTGCCTTCACAAGCTCCCTGTTGCTTCTGCTTTACATTCTCATGCCAGTACTACTGTATGGGTATACTTAGTTACATTGGTGCGTACTATACTTTGTACTGAACCGCCTAGAGTGAACACACCTTGTACCCACAGAACTGAGCTTTAGCCACTACTTAGTTTATTCCTGAGCAAAGTAAGCTATTGACAAAAAAAACCCTGCTTGCCCAGTACTGCCACAAAGCAAGGGGCTTTTGTCAGCACAGCTGTGTCAGGGTTTATGCTTCTTCACCTCTTTTTCCAACTCAGCTATGCCAGCAAAAGCTTGTAGTGTGGATTTAGCCTTGGAAGTGCTTTGATTGCTGTAATGAATCTTGTCGTTATCAGCAGTGGATCCTGATAAATGGGCACTGAAAAGAGTTTGCTCAGTCATTAGCTTGGTAGAATCAAGTCGCAAGAATTTTCTGTACCGCTAAGATGGGTACGATTTCCTCCGTAAGCGACAGCTGATAAATATATTCAGGCACATGGTTCGTTGACAATAATTGTCAGCTGCCAGCTTGTTGATCAGTGAAGAGGGGTCTTAATCTTAACTGGCGCTACATGAGATGTTTTCTGCAGAGCTGACTAATTAGCTCCGCAGTAGTCTCAGCGGCTACACATGTAGCCCTATTAGGCTTCAGTAAACAAACTAGTAAACTAATAAACTGCCATAAACACACATACTATCCTGCGGCAGAGTTATTTAGCGTGCCACAATGCACATGTAGATGGTGATGGGGCTGGCTGCAGCACATTGAGCCCCCTACCAGTCAGGGCTGCTCCAACTCGGCTCAATGTGCTGCAGTCCCAGGCACGTGTGCAAACACGGCCCAGGAGCAATAAACTCCAATGCAAACTGTGCTGGAGTTTATTCATTAACATTATGCATTAATTGCATGTGTAGGTGCACCCACAGTGTGCGTCTCCTGCAACTCTTCCTGTCTAGCTCTTTCTTGTCCCTGGCTAGACTACTAGTGCTCTTCCCCACCTTTAATTGCATAATTACCTGGCAGGCAAGGTGAACATTCTTCAGAAGCTTCACTGATTGCCTCTTCTCCACCAGGGCAAACTGTGCACGTGCTGCAGTTGGTTGTGCTTTGGAGGGATAGAAGACAAAGAAAAAGCAGTATTAAAATGGCATAGGATATAACAATAACCCGGCGGAGCATGGAGGTCGGGTAGGAAGTGGGACAAAACCCAGGCAACTTGCAGGGGATGTGATGTTGGATGCAGGGAGACCGGTGGATGTGGTGTACCTTGATTTTAGCAAGGGTTTTGATATAGTCTCCCACTACATTCTCCCAGGCAAGCTAAGGAAGTATGGGCTGGATGAATGTACTGTAAGGTGAATAGAAAACTGGCTGGATCATCGGGCTCAGAGAGTAGTAATCAATGGCTCGGTATCTAGTGGACAGCTGGTATCAAGTAGGGGGCCCCAGCGGTCAGTCCTGGGGCAGGTTTTGTTCAATGTCTTCATCAGTGATCTGGAAGATGGCATAGAGTGCACCCTCAGCAAGTCTGCAGATGACACCAAGCAGGGGGAGTAGTAGATATGCTGGAGGGTAGGACTAGGATTCAGAGTGACCTGGACAAATTGGAGGATTGGGCCAAAAGGAATCTCGTGAGGTTCAACAAGGACAAGTGCAAAGTCCTGCACTTAGGATGGGACAATCCCATGCACCGGTACGGGCTGGGGGCTGACTGGCTGGGCAGCAGCTCTGCAGAAAAGGACCTGCGGGTTACAGTGGATAATAAGCTGAATATAAGCCAGCAGTGTGCCCTTGTTGCCAAGAAGGCTAATGGCATACTGGGCTGCATTGGTAGGTGTGTTGCCAGCAGGTCAAGGGAAGTGATTCTTCCCCTCTATTCAGCACTGGTGAGGCTACATCTGGAGTACTGTGTTCAGTTTTGGGGCCCCCCACTATAAAAGGATGTGGACAAATTGGAGAGAGTCCAACAGAGGGCAACAGATATGGTGCTGGTGCTGGGGGACTTCTGAGGAAAACTGAGGGAACTGGGCTTATTTAGTCTAGAGAAGAGGAGACTTAATAGCAGCCTTCAACTACCTGAAGGGGTTTTTAAAAAGGATGGAGATGGACTGTTCTCAGTGGTGACAGATGACACAACAAGGAGCAATGGTCTCAAGTTGCAGCAAAGGAAGTTTAGGTTCGATATTAGGCGTAATTTTCTCACTAGGAGGGCAGTAAAACACTGGCACAGGTTACCCAGAGAAGTGGTGGAAGCTCCATCCTTGGAGGTTTTCAAAACCCAGCTAGACAAAGCCTTGGCTGGGATGATCTAGTTGGGGATGGTCCTGCTTTGGGCAGGGGGTTGGACTAGATGACCTCCTGAGGTCCCTTCCTACCCTAACTTCCTATTATTCTATGTTAACGTTGGCTTTATTTCCTCTTGTGGCCTTGGATATGAAAGTTTAAGTCTTTTTCCTCATTAGAGGCTTAGCTGCCATATGAGCTGTACTGGTTCAAACTGCCGGTATAGACCCTTGCACTTGAGACAAGCTATGCTGCCAGTGCCAGTCAGATGTTGTTACACTGGTGCAGCATGTCTCCAGTTGGGCTTTGCACACCAAAGGTAAGCAGAACTTAAACCTAGAGGTGAGTCATGCAAAAGACTGGGAAGGGGAGGCAGAAAGGTAATCCAAAAACTAATAATTTCTGAGAATTGCTAGCATCCTAGTTTATCATCACCAAACTGCCCAATATTGTTAAAGAAAAAGGCACACATTTTCCAGATAATTACTTATTTGCCTTCTCTCTGTTCCTTCCCACAGAGGAATTGCTCTAATGCATTCTCAGAAGCCCTACTCCCTTCAAATTAATAACAGGGGTTTGTGCAGAGGAGTTAAGTCGCTGCTCTCTACAAATCCCCATCCACTGTTTGGCAACCATTGATCCTTCCAGATCATGGCGTATGTATGAGAGGTCACCCAGACCTTGGATGCATATGCCTCGGCACAGTGTTTTGTTTTTTTTGCCGGAAGGCGTAGAGGCTGCCCAGACCTTCCACCCCGCCTTTAGGCGACTAAGACAGAATCCAAAGGCCAGACTGTGTGTGGTGCCTCCATAGCTGTATTTGTACAAGCATGTGGGAATTGAACCTAGGTGTCCAGCGTGGCAGACAAGGATTCTACCACTGAACAACAGTGGACTCCCCATCCACTGTAATTTGTTTATTAAGTGACCACAATCCTAATTATAAAATGACCAATTCATCCCAGCACGGCTGTCAGGTGTGTTGGAAGTTCTACTTGCACGGGCCACGAGTTTGCCCCTGCTCTAGATAGAAGGGGATCCCTGGGTGCATCCCCAGGCTAAGCCTCCTCCATGCCTTAGCCTAGGTGTACTGACATTGGGCCAGCCTTATGGCGCAGTTTGAAGGTAGGTGTGGATTCTGGGATTGGGCAAGCATCTCCAAAACGCACACAAACTATAAACATTTGCTCATTATCACTTCCTTCCTTTTCAGGTCCTTGTGACAAGGTATTTAGCAGAATTTGCAGATGTGTTGGAGTCTGACAGGGCCATACCATAAGTGCTTCTGCAGTGGCCTTGAACTTGCAACCTCTGGGCTGTCAACTGTACATCTCGGTGCCCACAGCACCTTAACCCCTGCTCAGTATCACCGAGCCACTGACTTCTTTGGGTGCCTTGTCTGAAATGGGTCTTTGCTACAGTTTAGTAAAGGGAAGATTGGAGTATGAAACCCTTCAGGAGCACCTTGCCCCCCACTCCTCCCATACATAATCAGACCCTTCACATAATGCTATTCAAGGATGAAAAAGTAGGGATGACTTCTTTTTTTTTTTTTTTTTGGTCAGGTGAATTAGTTTCCTGAGTCAGCTACTGACACCAAGAGAAACTTGCTACCATTCCCAGACCCCCAAACAGTCGCAAATGTATTTCTTACTTGCAGAATGATCCACGAGGACAGGGAAAACAAAATGCTGAGTTTTGCTGGGAGCTGAAATGCCCTGAGAAAGAGAAGAGAGTGAGTCCCTGGCATCTGCCTTTAGCTTTGGCAACATTGCTAGTTACTCAGATGCGTCTGTTTTGTAAGTGTTAAATAAATATCCAATCATTAATGTGTAAAACGTGTGTGCTCTTCTGAGGGTGATTTTACGGATTTGGGATTTCTTTCCTTTGGTAGCAAACCTATAGAAACAATGGAAAGCTCATGAAGACATTTACTTGATTCATGTGATGCCTGGAAGGATCAGACACATCGCCTTAACGTCACCTGCAGTGCTACTGCTCTGATTTCAAGCTCTGTCAGGAAATGTAAGAGTTCTTTGCTAAATGTGACATGGCCTCTGTGTTGGGGGATCAGACTCATCAAAGTTCATGGTGGCAGGGTTTGAGGACTTGGTGTTAAGTGAAAGGGCTGTTTGGAAAAGAAAATAATGGGTATAATCAACTAAAATAATGGGTATAGTCAACTAACTGGTATCAAACAAGTTACTGTTCTTCCCTCCCGTATAAGAGCTGTGGGGGTGAGCATTTTGTCTGGAGTGAGGGAAAGCACTTGTGCTTCTGACCCAATCTGCTAGACTAGTTCTGATCAGGGTCTTTCTGAGGACTCCTGAAGGCCTGGACACCTGGTCTCCCCTCAGCAAAAGAAGACCTGAAGAGGGAGGCTCCAGAAAAGACAAGTTAGCTTGGGCAAGTAGATGCTTTTGGGGGATGGAGTTGTGCTGGCCACCCAGGAAAGAGAAAGAGAGTTAGTTGTTTTGATCTGAAGTCGTGCAACAAGCAGGACAGGGTGGCACCTTAACCTACTTCATTGACAAAAGCTTTATGCCCCTCTGAACAAGATGTTATCTTTGCAGCGGGATCAGCCATGGCAGGATGTGTCTTGCTTCACTGGCATTTTCAGACGCTGCCACGGTGTTGTCCGGACCCTGTTGCTTCTAGGGCTTCAGGAGCCCAAATCTATGGGACAGTGACTCTGGGTGCTGCACCCCACGTGGGGTTTTCTTTGCTTGCAGAAGCACTCCCCAAGTCGGGAAGCAGCACCCTGATGCACTTGCCAGGAATCTGCTGGAAAGGAATTTCTGGGGCTCGCAGTAAGCAAACAGATGTTTTCCCTTACAAGATGTCACAAATGGTACCTGCCTTTAGTTATAGCAGCATTTCTGGTCACTTATAGTGGCACAAGGCAATGTCTGTTTGCACCCTAAAGTGCCATCCCTCCCTGCCTTCTGCCACAGGAAAGGAATCTAGTTCACTGACTCTCAACCCCCTGCCCTCCCCCCCCAAATAAATACCAAGTAATTCACTGCCTGACCTTGTGCTGTCCACCTGTCCTCTATATTTGTACAATATTATTTATTATTCTTCAAATAGAGAACACCCCCATTTTAGAATAATTAAATACTGCATCACATATGTTTATGGTGCTACAGAAACCCTGACTTTGAATGTCAGGACTTCCTTGTTACATAAAGGGAGGCGGAAGGCTAGAAAAGGTGAGTGTCTCTAGTGCTTTGTGTGTGAGTTTGCAAGACTATAACTTGCAAGTATGGACATGAAGTCAAAGACACAGCAGAAAAGCCACAAAACCGGCTAAGACCTTTCAGTATAGACATGGAAGTGTAGCTTGAGGATCTGCACTGGAAGATCTAGAGTCCTGCAATACATGAAGGAAAATGAGGGAAGCTAGAAGAATATAAGGAGAAATCTGTGGCCAGCAGAGGTAAGGACAATAAGGAGCTTGAGTAACATTTGACTTGATCCTGCATTCTGATTTAAAACTCTAGAAGGATAAGAAAAAAAAAAGTCACCATGGCACTATCTAAGTGGATTAAAAACTGGGCAGCTAATAGATCTCAAAATCTAAGTGTAGACTAAGACCTGTCAGGTAGATGTGGTTCTTCTACTGGGACAG